TGGGTTCTTGTTAAGGGATTTAAGTTAAGTTGCCATAATAAGGAAACCATATTATTTACTATAGATCCCTATTATGGTAACTTAAATTAAGTCCCTTAACAAGAACCCAGTTTAAGTTGTTCGAAAGTCTTTGACTTGAAGCTTCCAAGCGTCTCTCTCTCTCTCTCTCTGCACAGAGCACAACCCCGCGGGCGGCTCTAAACCCTAAACCCCTAAACCCCAAACCCTAAACTACATGGTTGTGCGACAACCATGTACTCTACGCAGAAGGTCGGGGAAGGTAGAGAGGACGTGGGTTGTAAGTGGACTGTAGGCATGTAAGGTTTCCAGATTGGCTTCGGCTATGACTCTCCCGCGAAGTCCTTTGATGCTTCAAGTAGAATGCTGCAACAACGGACTCTTAGGATAGCTCGAAAACCGTAGAATATGTCTTAAACTTGTGTACACTCAATCATTGTAGATGGCTTCAGATCAGATTACTTCAGACTCCCTGCCTCCGACCAAATTGATGGAACGACGAGCACTGCCGTCTTCTGGTAAATGCTCTCCTTTGATTTATGATTTTGGCATTTAGGCATTGGGGCCTTGTGTTGCGACTGACTGCTTACTTAGATCAACGCCTGCAGTAACTCGGAACGTAGCATTCGAAGTGGCGTTGCAAGTCCCCCCAAAAAAAGATGTCTTGCTTGAAATTCGAACTACAGCTACAACCTGATCACTACGTCCAAGAAACGAACATTATGTAGGGTGTTGGACTCTTTAGGGCAATGCTGGTAGGATTTAGGACACATAGGGTTTAGGAGTTTGGGGCTTGGGGTTTCGAGAGTATTGGGAGCACAAGATACAAGGGTACTAGTCGGGCACCTAGTTACGTATTTCAGGCTTAAAGAAGTAAGTCGATCCGAAAACCCCTAAAATCCTAAAAGCTCCGAAAACGTTCTCCCTTCGTCTTGCCACGCAGCGGCTGTCGTTGATGATGTTGGAAGTAAGGTATTTATCTGCATGTCGACAACGCCGACAACCCTAGCTGCACAGGCAGCTACGAGCCTGTGGCAGGGAGAAACTGTACTATACTGCCGCCGGGAACGGGGCCCACCACAGGCAGACACGAAAAGCAAGGCGCCTACAAAAGCGACTGTACCTGCGTACGGCGTCGAAGGCACGCGGGGGAGCGGCAGGCCCTGAAAACCGGCTGTACAGAAAGGACCGGCGGGCAGGCCTGCTCCACCCAGGCCGAGGTCGACTAGAGAAAGCCGGTCACGGGGCAGAGGCTTGACAGACCCAAGCGGAGGCCATGCAGAGTTTACGGCTCAACGAACAGGGCAGCGGGCCCAGGGTCTGGCCCCGACGCAGGCAGGCGGCGCAAGACGGCGCGAGCGTTCTCGCGCTGCAGCGTGACGGCAAGCGTCTCATGCATGTACACAATGGTTTCCTTGTTTAGGAACTTTGGAAACCAGCCATTTCCCAGTTCCGGATTTTTTTACAAAGATCAGGACCAAGTTGAACCCTTCGCCGGAAACCCGTTTCGGATTTGGCTCAGCAGTAAAACCCATGTTTGGATGCTCACATGGTCTAGAGTTTAAAAGCCTCAACAGCAGGATGAGGAGCGTCATCGTCATAACCATCATCATCAGCAGCAGCACCAAACAGAAGGAGGCTTAATAGCAGAATCAGCAGAAGCATCAGTAGCATCGTGCAGACGGAGTTCACATTTCCTGTGCAGACTGCGTGTGCAAATCTTCTGTAAGAGCTCACCCTAACCCCCCAAGTACCTACTATATAGGGTACTAGAGCCCCTAAGGCCCTATACAGTAGGTACCTGGGGGGTTAGGGTCATACATGCCTCCATACTCGCTACGAATCCAGGAAGGCGCTTCATCGATGCGACTCCAAGGCGGCTTATCAGGGAAACAGGGGTTTAGGGTTTAGGGCTTAGGGCTTAGGGCTTAGGTTTACGGTTTAGGGTTTAGGGCTTAGGGTTTAGGGTTTAGGGCTTAGGGCTAGGTTTACGGTATAGGGTTTAGGGCTTAGGGCTTAGGTTTAGGGTTTAGGGTTTAGGGCTTAGGGCTTAGGTTTACGGTTTAGGGTTTAGGGCTTAGGGTTTAGGTTTAGGGTTTAGGGTTTAGGGCTTAGGGTTTAGGTTTACGGCTTAGGGTTTAGGGCTTAGTGCGTGAAGCTTGGCTTTGAGCC